TTTCTCAAAACATATTTGTAAAACCTCTCATCCATATCTTTCTACAAACACTTACGAAAGTAATTTTAATAGACGAATTCAATTCATTAGCTTCATCGACTATCAACTTAGATAATTCCTAAAATCTGTGCCATGATAAAAAATAGACCATAAACCAAGTAAACTTGTACGCCAAAATAATTATATTTACAATAAGGAGTTCTTCAGTCGCTGTATATCAAACTATTGGATTGGTCAAGAAGTAATTTTGCTTTTTTTTCTAACAAATGGTCATATATGTATATTTTAAAATAACGAACATCAGTTTAAACCGAAAATTCATCGTGTAATCTAATACCTTGATTGTTCAAGCCAGTTCTAGAAAAAAAGGGAACACACGATCTCGTTTATCTGGCGTCGATTTCAAAATGGAAAATTAAAAAGGAATATTTTCATATTTGCTAGTCTTGCGAGAAAAACGCTGTGCAAAACTTGTAAAAAATTGACGTGTATGGTGAGGAAATCATTCTTTAAACTAGGACAGTGTCAGAATTAATTTACTGAATTTCACCACTGATGAGGACAAATCAAATCGTTCTTGGAACTTTTCTTTATCCACGAACGCTTCAATCGTGAAGTTTCTTGAAAAATCGCGGAAAGAAATCGAATAGAATACTATGCATCAATCAAGTCAAAAGTTTTTGTTCCTCGTGAGAAATTCGCCTTTCATGCGCACACAAAAAGAAAACGCTGTCACTTTTTGATTAATCTAATAAATACACCAGAATCTCCCAGCTGCAAACATTCTTAAAACCAATTCCAACAAACCATCATATTTATCATACTGCATCATATTACATACACCTTTATTCAACTTCTCCACTCACTTATTCCATGCTTCAATTACCAATGAGTTTGAAAGTTTTCTTGACAAATCGTCCCACGTATGACTTTTATTCGGAATCATAATGTTGCCTGAAAGCTCGCGAAAGATAATCAAACAGAATGATCAATGCATTAATAATGTTTTTGTTTCTTGTGAAAAATTCGAACAAAATCAAAAATCTTTTGCAAATATTCTCAGAACCAATTCCAAGAGACCAGTTCTACCAATCATACTGATACACCTTCATTAAACTTCTCCACCCACTTACTCCATGATTCAACCACCAACGACCTACCTCTCATCGAGTTTGAAGGAGTATCTCGACAAAAATGGCCCCACGTATGATTTTCATTCGGAATCATAAAGTTGCCTGAAGCTGGCAAAAGGTAATCGAACAGAATGGACAATGCATTAATAATGTTTCTTGTGAACAAAACTAAAAAGTCCTACCTATCTGATACACCTTCATTAAACTTCTCCACCCACTTACTCCCTGATTCAACCACCAACGCTCTCAACAAGTTTGAAAGAGTATTTCAACAAATCGCCGCACGTGTGATACACGAAAAATCTCTTTCAAACCATTCTCAAAACCAATTCCAACGAGACCAACAGACCAGTGCTACTCGTTCAACTTGTTAACTCACATACTCCATACTTCAACCACGACCTAGCTTTCAGCGAGTTTGAACGAGGATCTCGACAAATCGCCGCACGTGTGATACACCAAAAATCTGTTGCAAACCATTCGAGCAAGACCTACTCGTTCAACTTGTCAACTCACATACTCCATGCTTGAACCACGACCTACCTCTCATCGAGTTTGAACGAGGATCTCGATAGATCGCCCCATGCGCTCATGCTTCTGCTGCGTCTCCTGTAGGAGGATTGGGGCGCGAACAACCTCGAGCTGCTCCGTCTCCTGGTGGAGGCCAAATTCTCCGGCTGGAAGTAGACCCTCGGCGAGTGCATCTTCTGTTGTGCATTCGGCGGCGTGGATGTCGGCGTGACGGCTGCCGAGGTATGAAGTTCCGGCAGTGCCTCGTAGTCCCATGCTCTGGCGCCCATCTCGAGCAGCGGGACCGACGAGGCAGCGTTTTGGCCTCGAAGAGGATCCCGAGGCTTACGCTGGTGAAACAGGGCGAACAGTTGACGGAACGCCGACTCGTTCGCCCGATGTTCCCTCTTTCCCGGCGGCAGCTTCACTTTGTTGCGCGTGATCGTTCAACCGGCGAACGAATCGATCTACGGTGTCCCTCCGATATCGTCATCTCCTATGCGCCACTATCACATCGCGGATTACGTGACGGGAACGCGGTGCGTCCAAACGTCGCGTTTCAACAGATCGCGGATCACTTCCGAGCGGTCGAACCGATCGCACAATTTCAAATATTTTCCCACCATGATTATGCTATGACAGGTCGATCCGATCGCAGCGTGCAGTCGATTACTTCTGTTGTCCCCCTTCCTCGCTTTTCGCTTCCCTCCGTTCGTCGAGGATCGACTTACATTAACGATTAAAGCTTGATTTCTTTTGATTTTGTTCTTCTTTTGATTTCGCTTTCTTTTTTCTTCTTCTTCTTCTTCTTTTTATCTCGGGATATATTTTTTCAACGTTTGTTTGATTTTACTTTACTTTCGTTCCTCGGAACGACTCGTTTGATTTCTTCTCGTGAATGGGACATGTACATCGTGAACCTCTCCACGTCGATAAGCGAGAAACGATCCGATCGAGTGACGACAAATTAACCTTAATCGCTTCGAGTGCAATTTGTACTCGCTTCGAGGTGTCAATGTAATTTCTAGTCGATAAGCTCGACGCATCGAACTCGACGGTTGCCTGCTTTGAGCGTATTTATATATCCTCGGCAAACTTCCTTCGTAAGACTCGTTGACGACAATTGAAATTATCCCTCGGGAAAGAAAAAAAACGGACAAACGTTTGTCCTCGTCTCAAGTACGATTCAACTTCTACGTAGTTATTTACGGTTAATTAATTAAGAATGAAACTAAGCGGCAACTAAGCGTGCAGAATTAACAACTATCGAACCCTGTCCTCGAAGCTTGTCCTCGCGGCGGATTGCGAATTCTCGTTTAAAATTTTCGAAATTTCTCAAGTGAGCTAGTGACCCCGGTTAACAAGTGCAACTTCGGTTCTTGCTTACTCGACCCGAAATCGTTACAACGTTTCGATATATAACTGTGTATATAACTTGCGATAAAACATGTATATGTATCAACTGTAAGGAAAATTCTTTCAAAATTACGCGTCTCGCGCAAAATTGGTAACAGTGGAACAGCTATATTAATCTAGCGTTAACTAATCAAACGTGAGCAGCTTCAACAATAATCTCAAAAAGTGAGCCTCTATGAACGTGAATAACTCGTCTATCGTCTATGTTTAACAATAATCCTCAAAAATCGAACGCGCGTTGGGACACAAGTCCATTAGGAAAACAGTGTTATCGATCTTCCAACCGACGTGAAACAATAACAATCAGCCTCGCGATCGAAGCCATCGTTTATCACCAGTATAACAAACATCATCGTGCTTCGTTGATGCTCGACGCACCGAAGGTATGCACTACATCCGACAAACGCATCCTCGTTATCCTCGTTATCCCCGGTGTTAATTGCAGGAAATCCAAACGATCGTTGTTTTCCGTTCGACGCATTATCGCAACATCGTTTCAACAGCCATGTGTGCAAACGCGTGTGCCAGTGTTTCCGCCATCGCGATTGTTCGCTCGTGTCGAGTCGGACGTATCATAAATGTGTAATTAAAACGAATCGTTCTCCGACGTTCCCAGCGGGCGATTTAATTGATCGCCTGTAGTTCCAACCGACGACGACAGCAGCTCCTTGTCACTGGCAGAATTCTAATTGATCTAAACGAAGTCACGTGAGGACGGTGGACGTGTCGAAGGTCATGACCATTGCAACGTCGTTTCGTCGTAACACTCGTTAAATATTCGTGAAACAACACTCGATGCTCGGTACGTCGCCGCTTCGTTAGAAACAAGTTGCGAAGCGATCAATCGATTCTGCTCTTTTTATTATAGCCGCTTACATTCTAGAAAGGACGTCGTTAAGGCTTGCTGTACGTGTGTGCTCTGTGCGTGTTCCGAGGTTATTGCCGATGTTACCTTCAGATTTCTTCCATCGTATAAATCTTTCAGCGCGAACGTTGGCGCGAAACGTCAGATGCCTCGACGATAAACAACTCGAAGTCGTCAAACACTTGAAATCAGCACACAATACGGAGGTCCCTTTACTACGTGAACGATTGTCAATACGACGGGCGTACACTGGGAACGTTATTGTCCATTTCATCCTCGCCAGTCTCGGTGTTCATCGTTCGGTGAACGAGCCACGCATCGTTCGACTTGATCGATACGAGGTCGTAAATGTAAGAAAAACGACTACGAAACGTTGCCGACAGAGCCGTTTAACGAGGTAGTAAAACGTAACAACCGACGTGAAATCGACGATCAAGTGGTGGTGATGGTGGTCGTCGTCGAAACGTTAACAGTTGCCACAGCAGCCTCGATTACCATCGGTGACGAAACGGGGAATCAGCTGATCGGGGCTCCCGAAGAAATTGCTCGGAACGTTCAACCGCACGGCATGTATCGCGCCCGATGCGCTCAATATCGTGGCGATGCAACGAATTTCCCTCTCGAGAAATCCAGGGACGATCGTCGGAGATCGAAATATCGAGGTCGAACCAGCGACGAGACATGTCGACATGGTACATACTGCATCGGCCTTGACATAACACAATAGCTAGAACATTCCCATTGGATTTTCCCCTCAAATTACATCAGACACCGACACACGCGACAGGGATGATTTCCTCTTTTTTCTACAAACATCGAACTCATCTCTCTCTCCCTCTAAAGGAGGTGTGCGAATAGACGAAACGAAACTGAAGTGATTGTCCTTGAGCCGATGACCACCTTTCGACAGTGACAGTGCGATCGGTGAGAAACGAGACGCACGAGGATCTCTCGTTGAGTAGAAATGGCGGATGGGAAACCAGGCCTGGAACAAGACCTGGATCAGTTTCGATAACGTGTCACTGTGTAGGCTCTGTCAGCTTGCGTCCTCCAGCTCACTGGTTTTTCACTGTCGAGGAGCCAACTCGCAGCTCACCACCCCGTACTGCGGTACATCGTAGCAGTTTTCTCTCG